TGAGTGCAGAACGCTATGAACCGCACTTTGTGGAGGAAAGTCGGTGTATGCTGTCACAGTCTGGATTGAGCAAGGCATTTGGGGTGAGGCATTGAACTATGCTCGTCATCTTGTCAACAGACTACCTACTGCAGCATTAGATGGGAGATCCCATGGAGGTATGGTCAGGAGTCCCAGTTACTGATTATGATCAGTTACGTATCTTTGGATGTCCAGTATATTTTCATGTTACAGAATCTAAGTTGGATCCAAGAGCCAAGAGAGCCATCTTCTTGGGCTTCGGTGACGGTGTCAAGGGATACAGACTGTGGTGCCCTGAATCAAAGAAAGTTCTCATCAGAAGAGACGTTACCTTTGATGAGTCTGTAATGCTGAAGCAATCAGATCCTCAACAGAATAAGGAGGCATTGAAGAAGTCAGTGCAGGTGGAGTTTGAGACTCCAACAAAGACTAGTCAGCCAATCAACCATCCTGAAGAAGTCTCAGAGGATAGCTCTGAAGAGAGTTCAGATGAAAATGAAGATCCAGAGGCTCCGCAACAATTAGAACCTATTGCAATCAGGAAAGGAAAAAGGGTTACTAAGAAACCCAGTTGGATGACCGATATGGTAGCCTATGCACTTCCAATCATTGAAGACAATATTCCTTGCACTTTCAAAGAAGCCGTGCATAATGTAGAAAGTGTCAAATGGAAGGAGGCTATGGATGAAGAGATCGGGTCACTTCACAAGAACCAGACTTGGAGTTGGTGCAACTTCCAAAAGGCAAGAAAGCAATTGGGTGTAAGTGGGTTTACACCAAGAAGGAAGGCATTCCAGGCAGAGACAACATCAGATTCAAAGCTAGATTGGTAGCTAAAGGCTATGCTCAGAAGGAAGGAATAGACTACAATGAGGTATTCTCACCTGTTGTGAAGCACACGTCTATTCGCATCTTGTTAGCTTTGGTTGCACAGTTTGATCTCGAGCTCGCCCAACTCGACGTCAAAATTGCCTTCTTACATGGAGATCTTGAAGAGGAGATATACATGTCCCAGCCAGATGGTTTCAAAATTGCTGGAAAAGAGAATTGGGCCTGTAAGCTGAACAAATCGTTGTACGGATTGAAGCAATCCCCGAGACAGTGGTACAAGCGATTTGATCGGTTCATGATGGAGACAGAATACACAAGAAGTCAATTTGATCATTGTGTATATTTCCGTAAGCTTCCCGACGGTTCCTTCATCTATTTGCTCTTATATGTAGATGATATGCTGATTGCATCTACGAGCAATGTGGAGATTGACAAACTCAAGGCACAGTTAGCAAGGGAGTTTGAAATGAAGGATTTGGGAGAAGCAAAGAAAGTTCTTGGCATGGAGATCAAGAGAGACAGGAAGAAGGGCACGGTTTGTCTGACACAAACCCAGTATCTGAAAAAGGTGTTAGACAGATTTGGCATCAATGGGAAAACCAAAGCTGTAAGTACACCATTGGCCCCTCATTTCAGGCTTAGTGCTTCGTTGTCTCCACGCACAGAAGAAGAACGGAAGCATATGGCACAGGTTCCATATGCAAATGCAGTTGGTGCATTAATGTATGCTATGGTTTGTACACGGCCTGACATCTCGCATGCTGTGAGTATGGTAAGCAGGTATATGCATGATCTAGGAAAAGATCACTGGCAGGCAGTGAAATGGATCCTACGGTACATACATGGCATGGTCAATCTGGGATTGAAGTTCGAGAGAGATAACCGACTCGGGCAGAATTTGGAAGGATATGTGGACTCAGATTATGCTGGTGACTTAGACAAACGCCGGTCAACAACAGGGTATTTATTTACGCTTGCTAAAGGGCCGGTAAGTTGGAGGTCAACGCTTCAGTCAACGGTGGCTTTGTCTACTATAGAGGCAGAGTACATAGCAGTGACGGAAGCCTTTAAGGAAGCTATTTAGCTACATGGGTTGATTGAAGACTTGGGAATTGTTCAGAAGCACGTTGAGGTGTTTTGTGACAGTCAGAGTGCCATTTGTTTGGCAAAGAACCAGGTTCATCATGCCCGCACCAAGCACATTGATGTCCGTTTCCATTTCATCCGAGAAATTGTGAATGAAGGGGATATTCTGCTTCAAAAGATTGGTACTGCAGATAATCCGGCCGATATGCTCACAAAGGTAGTTTCTGGAATCAAGTTCCAACATTGTTTGGACTTGGTCAACATCTCTTGGAACTGAGCACCTTCGGGTGCATGGCAGTGTTGATCGATCACTATGTTGGATAAGAGAATCCTCGCCAAGGTGGAGATTTGTTGAATATTGGCTACAGATTCTGGTCATGTGATGGAAAGTGGCAGCCAGCTACATGGTGGGAAAGCCATGAGGCCATGTGAGTTGGCCATGAGGCCATGAGAGAAGCCATGTGAAGCTTCAATCTGGAAAGCCACCGAAAGCACAACAATGGGCTGGCAGCCAGCTCAGTTTCTTGCATTTGTAATCTCTATATATAGAGAAGCTAAGGAGAGTTGAGAATATAACTGAAATGCTTAGAGAGCAAAGAGAGAGAGAGAATTACAGAGAGTGTTGTAATTCTTACCATTTTGTTCAATATAGTGAATCCGCTGCCCGTGGACGTAAGCGACTTGCCGAACCACGTTAAATCTTGTGTGTTATTGCTTGTTTGAGTTCCCTGGTGTGCCCCCGATCCGCAACACTCACAACAGATTCTTCCATGGAATAATTACTGCCATGGAATCAAAAATTGTAAAACCGCTCAAAAACGCCAACACAAAAAATCAACAGACTGAAAAGGAAATTCGAAATGAAAAGTAACGAAGAACAGAACAAAGTAAAATCAAACCCAAGAGACTTATTAATTGAGAAGTGTGTTCTGCAAATTTCAAAACCGGAAATTTGATTCGAATCTAATCTCATCTAGAAATAAAATCAACTATGCAATTGATTTGATCAAAATATGTTTCGGAACAGGTATGCTATGTTTGGTTGGGGGAATTGGAGAGGGATTTGGAAAGGGAAAGGGAAAAGGTGTGTGAAATTAAGTGAAATGTAAGTATATTTTATTCACATTTCACCTAACTTTTCCCTTACCGTTTTCAAATTCCTCCTCAAATCCGCCAACCAAACACAGCGTTAGCGTCACTACCAATAGAAAAGCTGTTGCAGGCGCAAGATAGGAGGCGGCGGTGGTCGGTGGTCGATGTTCATGGAAGCAGGGACGGTGGTTGGTGATGGTTGGGGAGAGCAGGGATGGTCACTGACGGTTGCTGAGCGATAGGGAATGCAATTCGCTTCATGATGCTGGGACAGAAACCAGAAGGGGGTGTTTGGCGTGGATTATAGGGTGATTATAAGTCATTTTATTTTAAGAATTTGTATAAAATTGTTTAGTACCGTTTTTGTTTATAATTTTTTAGGTAGAAATAGTTTAAATAAATTGAAAAATATTGATTATTTAGAAATTGAAAAATAAATATTTTTTATTTTTTATTTTCTAATTATCAATTTTTTACTTGCAATAAATTATACTAAACTGGATCAAGGGAATGGGGAGGTAATCACGTGAGAGAGAGAATAAACTTTTGAGATCACGTGCTATACTGTTATTGATTGTCCGTAAATCTAATGTTTACGTATGAAACTTGATCTCTAACAAATATGTTTTTTTGCTTTTTTGATTCGAAAGTTAATTTGAAAATTAAACCATACGGCAGTCTAATTTTGTCAAAAGTTTACTTGACTTAAATCAACCGACTGTTACGGCAGTCTAATTTTACTTGACTTTTCACTGCACATTCTTCATACATAATATATGATGATGATTACTAAATTTAAAGTACGAAAAATTATCCAGTAGGATTTGGATTCCCTCATAATCTTGATGAAGCAGAGGATATTGTCTGTATTTACAGGCATGTTACAATAATCTAAATTGTTCAGGTCACAAAGTCAATCATTTGTGAAGCTCACATTGGCCTCACGTAAATGAAAGGTTTAGACGTTTGTGCCGTGTCATAGGCAATCTTAAATAATTTTTGTAAAAAAATTAAAATTAACCTAAATGGTTCTCATGTTGGATTGTTCTCTAGTCAGTCTTGTAGATTGTTGTTTTACACAGTTTTCTATAAGGAAAACATGGAATTTTGTTTTGATTGCTTATATCTTGCCTTGAATTTCGGTGCACACAAAATAATTTTGATAAAAATATAATATTTTTCACAAAATAAAATAAAATTTCTAATTTATCAAAAAAATAAATGTTCAATTAAAATATTGTGCAAATTGTACATCAGAGCATCCAACGTCCAATTACAAAAACCAAACATAATATAATTATTTTTTATTGAAAGTTGTTTCATAAATCCTAAAATTCGAAGCGAGACAATTCAAGTATTAATATTGTAGAAAAGGAATTCCATATGCCTAGTTGCATTAATCTTTAAAACTGTAGTTTGATCTGAATGACTTTAATCATTTGATTCAACCAAATTTTTGAACATATTACGAGTATATTAAATTTTAAATGTATAAGACTACATGAATAAAATTGTTAAATTATATTGGTTTTTAATACACATGCGATCTCTACAATATGACATATCAAATAACAGTAATTCAACATTTTCACACAAACTTTAAATTTTCATAAAAACTATTATCAATATATAAAAGCATAAATTGTGACAAAAGCAAAACGTTGCCCAAAATCCTAAGCAATAACCACTTAATGCCGTCCATCGATGGCTTCTCAAAAAACGTCATTTCTTTCTCAGGTAAGAAACCCTAACTAACAAGTTTCCTCATAAAAGCAAATTCTTTTCACAAAAGGAAGAGTGAATTAATACAAATAAGTTACATGCAGGTTGATCATTTCTTGTCCATATCATGGATCATAGATTGTTTCTTATTTTGTCTACAAGTGTAACTCCCCCTCAACCTCCTTATACCTTTAATCCTAAGGTGGGACCCACTCATTCCTTTATTTATACTAACTGCATTGGCCACACTCCATGCACATACCTGCCTTCATTTTCTTACAGTTGCTTGCACTTAATCTCATTCTTCCATATAACCAAACAGTTTCTCTTCTTTATTCCTCAATATCCTCTATTATTCATGGCTCTCTTTCTCTCTCTTCTTCTCATTTTCATGTTCCCTTCAAGCAATGCACAGGGACCACCTTCACCTGGCTACTACCCTAGTTCCAAAGTTGGTTCAATAGGGTTCAATCAAGGGTTCAGAAATCTTTGGGGTCCTCAGCACCAAAATATGGATCAAGGCTCATTGACAATTTGGCTTGATAGAAACTCAGGTGAGGTCTTACAAAACTTAGATTATCTTCCATCCCATGTGTTCATTTTTCATATCATATATTCACTTGTCTTAATTGTTTTTTATTCAGCTATAGGGCCACCATCAACATAATTATTTTTGTTGCCTTAATTTCCTAAAACAGGAAGTGGGTACAAGTCTCTTGATGCATATCAATCCGGATACTTTGGTGCTGCTGTCAAAGTTCAATCTGGTTATACAGCAGGAGTGATTACATCATTTTATGTGAGAATTCGATTCAAGAAATCTTCCGTTTCCAAATTTATCTATAGTCTTATTTCAAAGGGTAAATTACAAATACACCCCCTAAAGTTTGCTTAAAATATAAATTGTCTCCTGTGGTTTGAAAAATTACAAATACCTCCCTGTCAGAATTTTTTATTTAACAGAATTAATTGAAAAAATGAAATTTCTAACTGTTCACCTATACAATAATAAAATTATCTGAATTATTAATTGAAATAAAATTTTAATATTATTAAAAACTGTTAATTAACTTGATGATTCATTAATAAAATGATATATTTGTTATGAAATTATAAACCTTAAGGACATAATATAATTTCTAAAACCACAGGGATAATTTGTAATTTAAGTAAATCTCAAGGATATGTTTATAATTTACCTTATTTCAAAATACTCACTACTTGCATTATTTGCACATGTGGATCCATCCTCTTGTCTGAGCAATCAATTTTATAACTGAATTATATAAGATTCTCAAAAAATGAAACGTTTAATAAACAACTCAATAGTTCCCCTCTAAAAATAAATAAATTCAAAATAAAAAAAAAAACTCATAGTTGTGAGTGATTTTGAGACTAGAAATTGAGAAATTTGAAAACAAATAAATTTTTGGGTCTAAAAAAAATCTCTTTATCTCTCTATGTTTAGTTACTATGTTTAGTTTGTGGAAGTTAAAAATATTAATAACGATTAATGGCAGCTTTCAAACAACGAAGCACATCCAGGAAACCATGACGAGATTGATATAGAGTTTCTGGGAACGACACCGGATAAGCCTTATGTATTGCAGACGAATGTCTATATCAAAGGAAGTGGAGACGGAAACATCATAGGAAGAGAGATGAAGTTTCATCTTTGGTTTGATCCCACACAAAACTTCCACAACTATGCTATTCTGTGGAATCCCAATGAAATCATGTTAGTATTTCACTTCCACAAAATACCAGTTCTCTCATTCTTTACACACATATAAGTACTGCTTTTCTGACTTCAAATTTTGTATTTTCTTAATCATATGATGAATTGGGAGTCCGTTGGGAACAATCCGACAGGCCTTAAATTTCATGTGACACTGTTCATGTGTCATACTTTACTACACTTCCAATTGTACAATGACGTGTGGGAATGCATTGACGGCATAAAAGACCAAAATTTTGAATTGGGCCCTGGGGAATAAAGACAAAATTGTTGTCGACTAAAAAAAATGGAAGTTTCAACTTTAGTTCTCACCCATGCATATTTGTTTGACGCATCTGGTAGTGACGGAATAAGAAGAAGACTGTAGGAGGTTATGATTTTTTTGTTTTTGTGAAAATTTTTATTTATTATTAACATTTAAAATATATATATATATATATATCTTATTTTATAAATAAAATAGCCTCTCAATATAAAATATATGTATTATATTCTTCTATCATCTTCAGGGCCGGCCTTGAGTTTCCGGAAGCCTAAGGCGAAATAATTTTTGAAAGCCTTTTTAGATATTTATAAACTTGCTTATATACTTCGGATGTGTACTTGCACTATAAAACAGTGATTGAGCTCTATATGTCTCTCTTTTCCCCTTCTCCTTCCCAGGGCCGGTCTTGAGTTTCCGGAAGCCTAAGGCGAAATAATTTTTGAAAGCCTTTTTAGATATTTATAAAAAATAAAAATAAAAATCACTCTGTTTGGTTTAGAGTTTTCAAAAATAATTGTCTGAGTTTGTCATTCATATTTTTTTTTGTATTTGGTAACGTTTTTTAAAATATATATATTATAGTTTTTAAACGTATCTAAATTAGATGTATCTACAAAATAAATAAATAAAAATTGTGTAAAATATTTTTAAAAAAAATACTAAAAAACACATAATTGGGCCATAAAGAGAGAAAAAAAAAATAGGCCACACAAAATTAGGTTAACGACTAATACATATACATATATTTTATATTTTATTTTTTAATTGAGCCTTTTATCAAATGGGCCAAATAGATTTTTTGAGGCCCCCTTTAAAATAGCTTAAATTAATTAAACAGAATTGTGTTATTTTAAGTTTTTAATATAGTGCAAGACTAAATTTGAGGCCCTTTTTTGGCCTAATTTTTGGGGCCCTAGGCACAGGCCTCACCAGCCTTAGCCCAGGGCCGGCCCTGATCATCTTATATTCTCTTTTTATTTTCTACCCATTTTTTTTATCTTATTAGAGATTACTTTTATAATATTTGAATTTTTTTTATGTGTATATATAGTTTATATATCATATTATATATACATTTGTGTTTGAATATATGATAAAAAAAAAATTATTTATCTTTAGCTCCTCTCATAATAAAATCTTGATTTTATCTTTGTGCATGGTATTGATATGAGAATTTTTTATTTTTTTATTGTCTTTATTTTTTAAATAAAATAATTCATCATTATTGTTTATAATTTCATGAATGTTACACTCATATCCTTTTAATTGGATATTATATATATGAAAATTCTGTTTTATAAATCATTTTCCAAAGATTTGTTTTTAGATGTATGATGACATGAATATGCACAATGATATTATATTTTATATATATCATGTGGTGCCACACAAACCTTGTCTGCTTCTTTCACTTTCCTCTTTTACCTGTAAAAATCAAATAATTTTTGTTTGTTTGTGATCCGATTTTCCAGATTCTTTGTCGATGATGTCCCAATAAGAAGGTACCCTAGAAAGATTGATGCAACATTTCCATTAAGACCTATGTGGGTGTATGGATCGATATGGGATGCCTCGTCCTGGGCCACCGAGGATGGAAAATACAAAGCTGATTATCGATACGAACCTTTCATCGGTAGGTACAACAATTTCAAACTCGGTGGTTGCAGAGCTGATGGCCCTGCCTCATGCCGCCCTCCGTCGGGGTCACCGGTGGGCTCTTCTGGGCTGAGCAGCCAGCAGTATGCCGCCATGGAATGGGTCCAGAGGAACTACAAGGTGTATGACTATTGTCATGATCCAAGGAGAGACCACAACCTCATACCTGAGTGTTAGGGATCCTACTCATATGATACGTGGTGCGTCACTTTATTAGTTGGAGAATACATGATCATTTTGTCTCTACTTTTTGACGAAGGGACTGTAAGAGGGTTAGTAGGTCTCATAGCGAACTTGAGTGTTGTGGGACAAACTAAACCTCTTACAAAAAATTGAACCTCTTAGAAAGAAGTATGACTCTTTGATAAAATGATTATGTATTTCTTTGCTATTATGCACACACAGAACTACATAATAAGTCGGACCTATTAGATAAGGTATGGGGTATTATTAAGGTTTTGGTTATAAGTCACATATTGGGCTTTTCAGTTTTGGACAGTTTGTTTGGTGGGGGTGTTGTGATGGGTCCACTTGCCAAGAATAGATGGAAGAGTGGTTGAGCGTCCAAGCCTCCAAGATTTAAAGGTGTGTTATTGTTTTGTTTGTATCGTTCCCGAAATGTATTATCAAGTGTGTAATATATGTGTGTGTGGAGGGGAGAGAGAGAGAGAAGAGTGATGAATGACAACAGAATGATGAGAGAGTGAATGGGTATTGAGTGTTTGGTGATGACACCAAAATATACAAGATGAGATTTATGAATTGTATCTATTTACTATGACATCAAAATAAAGCATAAAGAAGCTATTGTCTAATCACCTCTGGTTGGATCTTATTGGGATATTGCCAAATTTGACAATGGCAAAAATGATTTCAGTCTATGCTTTTGGTGTGAAAAGCCAACACATCTTCATAATAAACTATATAAGATAAGATTTATGAAGTGTATCTATTTACTATGAGTCTATGACATCGAAATAAAGCATAAAGAAGTTATTGTCTAATCACCTCTTATTGGGTAGTTGCCAAGTATGACTATGGCAAAAATGATTTGAGTACATGCTTTTGGTGTGAAAAGCCAACACATCTTCATAATAAATTATGGGGGTGTTTGGCAAGGAAAAAAATAGTCTAGTTTAGGCTAAAATTTATAAAAAGATAAAGTAGGTTAAAATAGTTAATAAGACAAAATATCACATCAAACCCATAATCATTTCACTTTTTCTCTCACAAATATCATATCTAACCACAAAAAAATCTAATTATCTTTCCAAACACAAAAATTTTAACCTACTAAAATAGCCAAAAATTAAAATAACCTACTAAAATAGCACCTTCCCAAACCAAGCCTATATAAGATCAGATTTATGAAGTGTATCTATTTACTATGAGTCTATGACATCGAAATAAAAGCATAAAGAAGTTATTGTCTAATCACCTCTGATTGAATCTTATTGGGTAGTTGCCAAGTATGACAATGGCAAAAATGATTCCAGTTTACGCTTTTGGTGTGAAAGCCAACACATCTTCATACTACAATAGTCATCAAGAAATTAGTCACCTTATAGAATATATAATCTTGTATAGTCATATCATTTCTTTTCCTTCCTTGTTTGATTGTTGGATTGAGCTAAATGATTTTCTTTTTATTTATAAATAATTTCTTATCGATTGATTAAAAATAAAATAACAATAATCACTGTGTTTAGTTTGAGTTTTCTGGATTAAGTTTTTTGAAAACTGAATTTTTTAATTTTCGTATTTTTTTGTTTTTAGTGAATATTTTTAAAATTTTAAACATTTTTTTTACTTTTTTAGATGCACCTTACTTAGATGTGTCTAAAAAGTAAAAAAATTGTGAAAAAATATTTTAAAAAATTAAGAAATACATAAAAATATAAAAAATGTACTAAATTCTTGTATTTTTTTTTTTGTATTTTTGGTATTTAGTAAATTTTTAAAAAAAAATTACAATTTTTTTACTTTTTAGGTGTATTTATGTTAGGTGTGTCTAAAAAGTAAAAAATTTACATAAAATATTAAAAAAATGAGCCGTGATCCATACACCCAGTGGGGGTCGCGCCCCCAGTGACGTGGCGCGCCCCCACTGGCTGAAAACTTAAAAAAAAAAAAAAATAATTTTTTTTTGGACAAAAAAAAACAATTTTTTTTTGGACCAATCCGGGGCCGACACCTCACTGGGGGTCGACCCCCAGTGGGGGTATGAAACTTTTTTCTAAAAAAATTCAGTAAAAACAAAAAAACACGAAAAATAAGAGCGTAGAATTTTTTGAAAACTGTTTTTCAAAAATGAAAACCAAGCAAAGTGAATAATAATTGAAATACAAGCTTTAATTTGATTTAGTTTATAGATATAGGATAGAGTGAGCGACCAATCCTCACCCCATCCTTTCCCCAAGGTGATGTAGCCTTAATAAATAGAAATAAATAAATGAAGGCTCATCATAAGAGTTATGCTAGGGATTCTAAACAAATTACTAAATAAATTATCAAACCTCTCACATGGGTGCGAGACCCACACAAATCACATGTGTATAGGTCCCACACTCATGTGAAAGGTTTGATAATTTATTTGGTAATTTATTTGGAATCTATAGCATTTTCCTCATAATAATATAACAATTTTAAAAAATAATAATAATTTATGGGTCCATGAGTATGGAATGTTTTGGGCCCTGAAGGCTCGATTCCCGAAAACAAAAGTGAATTACAAAATTACATATATTTAATAACTTTGTCTAATATATGTTCACTATAATAAAATTGAATTTTTATGTATTACAATGCATATTGTAAAAACTCTTTTACGACATGCAAACAAATACCGTTATATGACATATCGTGGAAAGTTGAGTATCATTTACAACATGCAAGTAACATCGTAAAAAGTAATAGATTAAACATTAATAACATACTTTGTATATTGTATATAATTTTTTACGACATTTTTGTCATGCCATAAATCATCATATTTCCTATGGCACAATTTTGCATGTCGTAGAAGGTTATTTTTAATATGTTTATGGCATACTTTGCATGCTGTATATAATATTTTACGACATTTTCTTGCATGTCATAAATCATCACACTTTTCACGACATAATTGTGTATGCCGTAAAAGGTCATTTTTAATATATTTATGACATACTTGTATGTCGTATATAATCTTTTATGGCATTTTCTTGTATGTCATAAATCATTACACTTTTCATGACATAATTTTATATGCCGTAGAAGATTATTTTTAATATATATATATATATATATAGAGAGAGAGAGAGAGAGAGAGAGAGCAAATTCAAAGTTTATTATATGAATAAACTCAATATATGAACATATGATATCATTGAATCCCCATTTTAGTACTTGAAAAGCAAATTACAAGATCAAATCACAAATTATATGTACAAATAAAAGTAAAAAGATTATACACAACACAAACCAGTCAAGTCTAATTCATTATTAGGAGTAGTAGAGAAAGGTAAAGAATCAATTAACTTGGCCACTACAGAAAGTCCCTGCCCCAATACCAATGGTAGGGATTCGAAGAGCAGATGTTGCAGTGGCAGAAGCAACAAGTGCAAGCACACATTTCAGAATAACAGAAAAGTACCCAGTTTCCTACAAAGCCAGGGCAAACTCAACAACCTACAGAAACCAAACCAATTTAGCATCACAACACTAAACTAAATTATACAAATTTGTGTGTTAGCATATTTGATTATATATGAAATTATGAAGTATTTATGTTTTTTTTTTTTCCAGCAAAAATTATGAAGTATTTATGTCATGTATGCATAGTAAGGAGAGATTTTGACTTTGACAACAATAGCAATATTCTTTCCCTTGAGGCCTAAATCCTCCAAGAACACTGATGGCTTGAGGAGTAAGCCCCACATGTCCTATCATTGCAATTCCAGCATGTATGCCCCTGCAACATTTATTATGTTTTTATTGTGCTCCCCTAATTCAACTTCAAAATATCAAATTCAACATCAATTCACTCCACACTAAACCACCAAAAAATCATAAGAATCTTGAAATGCAAGCGAAAATCAACAAGTAGGAATCAAAAAACAAGAGCTAAAGAGAGAAGATACCGTGAAAACGTTCTTCGAAGAAGACTTCGGCTGAAGTGATCGCGAAGAGACAAACCTGAATACATATCAAAATAGATCAAATGTTTCTAGAAAACTAATAGTTACACCATAATCCAAAAGGTACATATAAACTTGTCACATGAGAATAGTACTCAAGTATTACTCATGTTGCCATTTTATAAAGACCTCCATGAAAAATGTTCAAATCAAGAAACGACGTCCATTTTGATTCTTTCATATTGTCCTATTTCCTGCAACAAAAATGATTTCGATGTTGATGCCTTCATATTGTCCTGTTTCCTGCAACAAAAATGATTAAATGTGCATAAGTATCATTTTCAAGTTGAAAATCTATAAATCACATAATACAACATCGATGAGTGATTATTTGTTGGTCTTAGAGCATTATTCCATATCTCTTATCACTTGACACTCATCAAGTTCTCCAAACTTTTAATAAAACCTATTGAATCTCACAATTTTAACCAATAAATATTATGCCTATGAGTTGCCTATAAAAAAGCATGTCTTTTTTGAAAACTAAATTCCCAAGTCCAATTGGTTCAAAGAAAATGGAGCAACAGAAAATAAGTGAAAATATAATTCACTTAACTTTTTAAACAATAATTTTTGGTATTGTTTATCATTTGTGGCTCTTGAGAATGCTAAAAACTTAAACGAAAGTAGCTTAAAATATCATTGATAGACAGAAGGGATAGAATCACAGGATTTTTATATTCCACAACCATGAAGGGTACAGCTAGGAAGTTCTTTGAGTGTACAACATCTTCTCTATCCAATTCCCCTTCATTTCTCTTTTAATTATTCAAAGTTTGTCTAACATGTTTCTTCAATAAAATAACCAACATTCAAACCCCCAACAAACAATTCAAAACAGTTTTTTGAAGTAACCCAACAATTTCGATTTCCAAAAATGCATGGAGAATTGCTAATTGAATAAATAAATATGCCACAATAACAACTAATCAGTTTTCAATACTGTCTCATATTTCTCATTAAACAAACAGCCCAAAAATTTAGACATAAAATTTCACATGCATACATGTTTGTCCTCTATTTGTATATATATGTATTTGTGTCCAACTCCTTGGGATAACATAATAAAAGTTTGTTTGATTTCTACTAGCTTCCTTTCAAGATAAATGTTGTCATACTATGCTACTTATATTTGTATGTTTCAAACACAACTCATTATAAAAATGATGGGAAGTGTTCTTTTTGATGGTTTATGAGAAAAAATAACATGAGATGATGATTGACGAGAATATAAGTTCATGAAGAGGATAACTTGCAAGGATGAAAATCTTGGTGCTTAAAATGCGCCCAAATTTTCAGGGCACTTCAATATATTTCTTATTAGGGCATGTAAAATGCAGAAACAAGATACATCAGCAAAGAATGCTTCACCAAATATTTGATGTGTTCTTGCTCTAGACACTTACCAACCCATCCAGGATGCTTCTGCATAATAACAGTCACCTGCTCTAAAATAATGAAATCAATCATTGAAGTATGATTGCACACAAAAACCTGCACACATCATAGCAATGGAAGTTCAGACATATATATAATATATTTAAACATATGAAGGTTGATTTTTTATACTAACATTTGAAGAACTTTGGGGAAACACCAAAAAGAAAAAATAATTCACAGATACCTGCTTAGGCCTCATCTGAATAACCCAATATAATATCACAGTAAAATGGGAAAAAGCTTTGTTAACATGCAGCCTGAAATTCTAAGTTGAAACCATACTCCTGTAGACTCTGTTAGAACCAATTTGAATAACATGATTATACAAATAGACAAAAAAGCAACTCATAAAATTTGCTAGACAATCATTAAAATATAGTTGCCATACCCCTAAACAAATAGATCAACACATTTGACCAAAATAAAGGACTGCGATGCAATCTGAAGGGGAAAAGAACAAGACTTCATCACCTTCTGACTCAAGAACTTGAGCTCTCCTTTTGCGTTCAGCTTCAGCCTGCATCTCCATAGCTGCCCTCACTCCACGAGGAGGAGATATATCCCTTAACAAAGAAAAGGCAACGAGAAATGCATGATAAGTTGCAAGCAGAACATTATTAAAGAGAATTCAACACACAGTTTTAGGACAGAAAAAGGCAGACTTATTTCATAACGAAGACACTTCAAGCCCCAATCCTTTGCAGCATCATTGATGGAAATCTGGAGAAAATGTGCATATAAATCAACCAAATCCAATTATACAAGAAGGTGAAACAGTAACTGTAGCAAATCTGAACAGAAACATGCAAAGAGTGTTAGACACATACTACAATAGCTAACCTAAATAAGGTGCCAAAATTAAGGGTTCTGGTACACTAAAGAATTATATAACCACAATGATGGAAATGTTCATATTGGCCATCAAAACTAAATATTATGTAGCATTTTTCGATCCTGGTTTCTAAATTCAGCCTTCATATATATGTAGAGTTTCTATCAAAATACTGAAGACCATTTGTTGCATCATTTCTAGTTTAGATCCAGGTTTATGCCAAATGTATCTTCATTAAGATTATGTTATTAGCAAAGGCATACACAACGCAAATTCTTTCAACATAGTTTCAGACCACTACAGTGATACAATTCAAGTTGCAGAATAAGTTCATTGTGAAAGAAAATTTACTTTGTCCTCTTTCAATGCACGTCCCAGATGAGGCTCAGCAACAAATATCCTCTACCAATGATTTCAAAAACTTGCAATATTACCTTTCCAACTTTCCAAGCACTTGAGAACAAGCTTCATATAAATCAATTAAGTCCATAATTGATCTATCCAACATGATATATAGTTGTTTAATCTCACTACCAATCCACTTACTATCTCCAAAGTTATATAGTACCCCTAATAATGTCATCCTACATTAATTTAATTCCTTCTCATAAAAGTACCACATGTTTTCTATTCATTTGTACTTCAATAGCTAAGACTGTAAATTCATTCTCTTAAATGAATTGACCTTTTATCGCCTTTTGAATTCAACAGCAATTTTACACTTATACTATTATTCTAGCAAAAGCTATAGACACTGATATAGTTTAGGCTGTGCCCACCATTTACGCAACATGTCTTCCGCATATTATTAGTAATGTGCTTTAACTAATCCATAAACTTGATCATTACTACTATGACAGACAACTCATGCAATGAACAACAATCTTTTCCAGCACATTTTGACCCCTGGAAATCAAACACACAGTGGAAAGTAAACAGCCAATCCAATGAATTCTCACCACTATCTTGTCATTCAGGGTGTCTCTTTCCTCAAATGTCTTGTCAAGGGTGATCTTCCCAAGCTCACTACGCATTGTTGTCTGTGCAAGCTGTATAACTGCATACAAGGGATTCTCAACACCATATGAAGCCAGACGAGGGTCCACAATCTGCAATCACTCAACTAAAATGCCTTTAACCATCGCTTCAGAAAGCCAATAAACCAGTAAGAAATCCACTAATTCAATGAAAATAAAGAAAAAAAGAAAGTCCTGGTACCTTAACATACAGAACCCTGTCAATCAAGATACTAACATTGTCCTTGGTGATGGCAGATTGGTCTGGAATGGGAATCGCCTCTTCCTTCAAGGAATGCATGTAAGCAATTCGGTCAACCATGCCCCAGCACAATGCAACTTCCCCAAATACTAGCAAAAAAAAAAAAAAAAAAAGTTTTCTAGAGAAGAACTCACAAACAAAATCCAACTATTCATACAAAGCTCAGAGCAAAATAAAGCAAACAGAGCAACAACAGAAGTGCAAGATCTAGAAGAACTCTCTAATTCATCTCCAACAAACTTCAATTGCAACTTGCAGGTGATCACATAAATACATATTTTCATTACCAAAACACAAAATGATAAATACCCATTGTTGGAATACAAACACAATACCCATATACTTCACTTTTTGTGAGAAACTGCAAATGAATCCAGCTGACCAAGATTGATTGTCACAAAAAACATAAACAAATAAAAGAAATCCCCAAATTACAACCAACGAAAACATATGCAAATCCCCAACCTATATATGCGATTTTAAATCTAGTTCAGTGGGAGTGTAAGGATTAAAGCCTCCATATAATCTAATTTTAGGGTTTTGGGTTAAAGAAAATCTCAAAAAAAGCGAAATCTTTGGAAGAAGATAGATGGAACTAAATATAACTAGACATAGCAGGTTTTCCACTTACTAAAATTCCAAGCAAAATAGCAGAGACCCGCAATGCAACAAAATAGCAGGTTTTCCACTTACTGAAATTCCAAGCAAAATCCAATTCCACTAATCCTAGTTTGAGGAGGCAGCAGTGAAACTATAGAGAAATTGGAGCAACACTACACTACAACCAGTAGACGTAGATCCCCTACACAACCCGTAGGGATAGGTGGAGGCAAAACAAAATCAATATGGATAGCACCTGGTGCGGTTCAATAGAAACACGGTTCCTCAACTGCATACCCGCAGGGTATATTACAAAATAGCTAATAGAAAAAATAACAAACATCGGACATTCTCTATGAGGGATAACATTTAGACTGGCACACTCCTATAGCCTGGTCCTCATGATTGCTAAACTAGTTAAAAGGGTGGAATGTTTCAAAGTTTTATGTTTGATGATAAATGTTCTTTAATTATGTCTTTAGATTCAAAAAAAAAAAAAAGAAGGTGTACATAAATGTTGAATTTCCTCTAATCACATTATTAAGCCAACAAAACATTACAAGCTGTGCATTAAATTCATGGACAACAATTTTCTCCATTGTGGCATTTTATCAAATACCTAGCATACATAATAGACAGAGATGACCCACCTCTAGCCCAACTCAAACCCAACAAAATGCAAAACAAATCAAAAGCTAAGTTTCAAAATAAAAAAAAAAAAACTTTAAAAGCACTGTAATGTATTACCAATTCCATAGACCTTTTTGTTAGTTTTACTCACTAATAGTATTTGGTGGTTGGGTGAGTATGGATTTAGACTTCGTTCATCACAAGCAAACAATATATATGGACTAAATGTAATGTTGTTTGATACTAGTATATATATTTTCATCTCTGTCTATTAGATTTCTCGGCATTGATATATTCTTATTCAAACACCTTTGCTTTAAATTTCAACCTACAAATCCATGAAAATCTGTGGGTTAAAATAATTTTGAAATTTCTTTTTGTTTGTTTGTATTTTAAACAAGGCCACAACATTACCTGATGAATATCATAGATGAAACAGAGACTAGAAGAAAGCAGAGAGGGGTAGAGAGAGAAACAGAGAGACCAGAAGAAAGAGAGAGGGGTAGAGAGAGAAACTGAGAGACCAGAAGAAAGAGACGGGCAGAGAAAGAGAAATAGAGAAAGCAGACTGACCTTCAAATCACAGTGGTGCTGTAGCTTGACGCCGTTGATACACCGGTGGAGAATGAACGAAGGCTCAATGATGAAGTGTTGCAACTAGGGCACACAATCGAGGCTTGAAGGAGTTGAACGGTTTTTTTGGGACTGATTCTGATATGTTATTCACCCAAAAAAAAAAAAAACAACACAAAACAAAACAAATCAGAGCGCGAAATTACATTTATTTTGGCGCCCGTTGATTTTCCTTGGCTTATTGTAGCGGTTGAGTCCAAACTGTCACTACAAAAAAATATATAGCAGCACTTTAGCGAAAAACTGTGACTAAAATTGGATTTTTTAACAGTGGCCAACAACCATTACAATAGCCCATTTATAGCAGCGTTTTTCGGGCTGCTGCAATAAAAAACGCTGGTAAAACTCGATTTTCTTGTAGTGTGTAAATTTCAAATGCAACATATGTTTTCATGTATGAAATTACTTATTTTAAACAATCAATATATGAAGAGAAATAATAAAACAATTGTTTCTAGGAAAATGAAACACATTTGAAACTCTTGAACAAAATTATTGATCAATGCCACTAAAAACTTCTATGTAAACTACATTTTTGGTGACATCATCCGGTATGCCTTGTTTATTAATAATCAACACCTTTAAGCCTGATGGGGAGGTGACACGTGATAGAGCTACATACAGCTGGCCATGAGAGAAGATTGGATTCGGAAGATAAAGGCCCACATTCTTCAAAGTTTGCCCTTGACTCTTATTTATTGTCATAGTGAATGCCAACTTTATTGGAAATTGCCTTCTTTTCATTGTAAAAGGAGCATGATTTTTGGAAGGTGTTAAAACAATACGTGAAAGTAGTACTTTCTCACCAACTCTAGACCCTGTAATAACTCTAGCTTCAATTACTCGATTTCCCATCTTATCAACAATTAATCGAGTGCCACTACATAATCCCAAAGATTGGTTGACATTTCTTAGAAGCATTATTGGTGTTCTAACTTTCAACTGCAAACAATGATTTGGAAGTCCTAGTAAATTCAAAGAATGCAAAAGTTCAGGAGGGTTCATGTCTTGAACATTGCTCTCACTTTCTGTTGGACACAATTTATCGGCACTGTTAAAAGTTTTCATCTCTCCAAGAAGCATCGAAAGCATAATAGAATTGATTTCATCAACATCACTATTTTTAGGAGCTAAAATGCCTCGTTCTTTTAAGTACGACATATCCTAATATTTATTTATGAAATCAGGATAGGTGGCATCGATTAACTGGTGCAAATCTCTTTCTCCATTTTTTATAACAAATTTTTCTGGTATCTGTATCCAATTAGGTTCATAGCCTTCACTAAATGAGCTTCCCATTATTTTCCTTCACCAACCAATTTAATCCACTCTGCAAAGTCACGTAATTCATGACGCGTATGATTAGAAATATCTTGTGCTGTAACACGCATATTTCTGGTAAGATGCAAAACTTGACAATGCTCCCAAATTGTTGACTTAGGTAATGAAGCTTCCACTGTTTGTTCACGCCCACCTCTAGGTACGACAGGCAATATTTGTCTAAAGTCACCACCAAGCACAAATGGTTTTCCACCAAAAACCCTATCCCCTGAACAATGTTCTGTATTTTTCAATATGTCCCTAAATGTACGATCAGCAGCTTCAAAAGCATGACGACTAACCATTGGTGCTTCATCCCATATAATTAACGACGCCTCTTGAATTAACCTTGCCAAATCTGTCCCTTGATTTATTGAACAACATGATGAGTTATCAGGGTCAAGTGGAATCTTGAAACGGGAATGGGTAGTTCATCCCCCGAGTAAGAGCAAAGCTGCAATACCTGATGATGCAACAGAAAGAATGATCTTCTTATCGGATCAAAATTTTGCAATTAAAGTGCTCCATAAATATGTCTTTCCAGTTCCTCCACTACCATACACAACAAAAAGCCCCCATGATGAGTGGAATAAGCTTCTATTATGGTGTTAACACTTTCAATTGGTCATCATTCAATCCCACATATAAAGATTCAAAAGATTGCATTTCTGAAATGCTATTGTAGTTCAATTCCTCCCTTATGAGCCTATTAGTAACCATTTGACCTGATCGATATGATGGTAGTGGCATCGGAGGAAACTCTTTAAGAGGCCTTCCATTCTGATTTAGTATGTGCTCAATTTCAAGCAATCCTAAATTTTTCAATTCACATTCTTCGAGACTTATGTTGCCATCCCCAATTTGCCTTTGTACCTTATTTTGTAAATCATGAGTAAGGTCAAACCAATGATTCTCCCACAATTCATATGCATTTGTAACCTCAGAAAACATTAGCATTGAGCAAAACATATTTTGCAGTTGAGCACCTGATGCCCATGTTGAGGCTTCTGTTAAAGCTGTGTCCTATTCATTATCATCGTCAAGTAAGCCAAGTGCAAGGCATGCAGATTTAAATGTTGGGTGCACAATGCCATTAACGGTTCTAATATCTTCATAAAATTTTGCACCTCGAACCTTGGTAAGCAGCATACATAAATAATATCGTTCACCAGAATTAGGATGTGCATAATACAATCTACCTATGCATATTTGTTGTTGCCTCATTTTCCATTTCTTCTATTTCTGGTTCCAAACCCATGAGCTAGGAAACTCTTCATATGTTAATGTATTTGCCTCTACATGATCTCTGTTTGCTTGAAACCACCTTGTAAACATTGTCTCGTGAACCCCGACTGATTAATAATTGACGGAATGTTATATGTGTCTCTAAATAGAATAGATTGTTCCCCAGGTAGATGGTACTGCAACCGTTCAACTGAAGGGTATTTCTTTTGCAATTCAAACTCAAATATACGCCAGTAACTTTCAATTACGGAGATATATCGACAATCTAAGTATTGTTTTACCTCATCAGCCTCTCTATACCGACTTTGTCCATCAATGTTAAGTCGATTAACATTATCTTCAATTACAACCGTTGCACGATCAGGACCTTTATGTATGTACTTATATAAGTACTTGATCAATTTGATGTGTGCATAACGCTCAATATTAATATGGGCATCATACAGTACATTAAGATCACGGTTGTTTGGAATAACCCATATGTTGTCAATTTCAAATCCATTAACCATGTATTTTTTCTTTGTATCCCTTCGCCTATAGATAGCAAATCCATTTTCATCAATACTCGTTTCACTGCAAAAATTCTTCGGATAATGTTTTGAACATTTTCCATTCACCATACATAGGGCATTAGGGTTAGCATTGCCATAGGGACCATGTATCATGCACCTCATCACTGTTTGAAATGCTAATGGATCTTTATCCTTATCAGGAATTTAAGCACAAATTATATCATCAATTTCCTCTGGCAATTTTATCTTGTCATCTGCTGATAATGTCAAGATAATGTGCGAATGCGGTAATCCTCGCTTTTGAAATTCGATGACGTGAATATCTGTTCAAGAAAAAATAATATTATTTGTTAACTTTAAACTAAATTTAACAAATCTAATTGACCAGTTCAAATAAAAACAAACCTGCAATTATTTTGCCAAAGAATTTTCGGTTCTTGAAATATGCCATCAGTTGTTTCAATTTAATTCGAAAAACTCTCGCAAGTATATCCGGTATATCCTCTGTGCGTCGATTTGGAATGCGCGCTACCTCCTGTTGAATTTCTGACCAATTTTGGTTACATGTGAATGTGACAAAAGGTCAGGAAATCCCATCTTTCGACATATTGCGATCGCATCTTGGTAATGCTGAACCATATTTCGTGGGCCGACTGTAAAAGATGATGGCAGTATAAATCTCCTACCAATGGCTGATACATCACTGTCACCCGCAGTCACATCATTTTCTAAACCTCTATACAAATCAATCCACAACACATTCTGTTTATGCCTACTGAAGTTTAGTCTATCTTGCTCAATAACTGCATAATAATCAACAACAAATTGTTGGAACAAACGTCCCCCTTGCAATAGCGTTTTCCCTTCTCCAACTCGAAATTGAAGTCTAAATGCATAAAACTCTCTCATTGACACTCCTTTTCGTTTGTTGTTTGTACCCAGAGTAAAACTTATAGACCTTCTCCATTCATCAGTCCCATAAGGAAAAAGTAATGGATATTGAAGTGGCATGTATGAAGGATGTGTTTCATTAATCCTTTGTAAATGTCCATCTAATTTTCTAACAATTATGTCACGATTTGTAGTGCTTTCAGACCCATCACCAACAATTAATGCAGCAATTTCAGTTGTAGTGGGTCTAGTGTACTGTCTCCTATCCCTTGAACTCAAAATGCAAATATGCAATTCTTGAGCACCATTCTCACGAATCATGTCTCGAGCAGTGCGAAAAATTGATACATATGGATTGATGACATTCAACATTGACTGTAAACCTTCTAATGTGGACGTATCAATTCCCGATGTGCCACCACACCTATTCATAACGTCCATTCTATTGCGAATTTCATGCTTAGTGTCATAAATATAGAGTTGTGCAAATTTAGGCCTTGTTCCAGGTTCTAGTAGTAGAGAACCAATTTTATGAAAATTTGCTCCACTAATACGAAGAACATAAGGACCCCTTCCATCTAACACTGACTGATCAATGCGCGCTACCTCCTGTTGAATTTCTGACCAATTTTGGTTACATGTGAATGTGACAAAAAGGTCAGGAAATCCCATCTTTCGACATATTGCGATCGCATCTTGGTAATGCTGAACCATATTTCGTGGGCCGCCTGTAAAAGATGATGGCAGTATAAATCTCCTACCAATGGCTGATACATCACTGTCACCCGCAGTCACATCATTTTCTAAACCTCTATACAAATCAATCCACAACACATTCTGTTTATGCCTACTGAAGTTTAGTCTATCTTGCTCAATAACTGCATAATAATCAACAACAAATTGTTGGAACAAACGTCCCCCTTGCAATAGCGTTTTCCCTTCTCCAACTCGAAATTGAAGTCTAAATGCATAAAACTCTCTCATTGACACTCCTTTTCGTTTGTTGTTTGTACCCAGAGTAAAACTTATAGACCTTCTCCATTCATCAGTCCCATAGGGAAAAAGTAATGGATATTGAAGTGGCATGTATGAAGGATGTGTTTCATTAATCCTTTGTAAATGTCCATCTAATTTTTTAACAATTATGTCACGATTTGTAGTGCTTTCAGACCCATCACCAACAATTAATGCAGCAATTTCAGTTGTAGTGGGTCTAGTGTACTGTCTCCCATCCCTTGAACTCAAAATGCAAATATGCAATTCTTGAGCACCATTCTCACGAATCATGTCTCGAGCAGTGCGAAAAATTGATACATATTGATTGATGGCATTCAACATTGACTGTAAACCTTCTAATGTGGACGTATCAATTCCCGATGTGCCACCACACCTATTCATAACGTCCATTCTATTGCGAATTTCATGCTTAGTGTCATAAATATAGAGTTGTGCAAATTTAGGCCTTGTTCCAGGTTCTAGTAATAGAGAACCAATTTTATGAAAATTTGCTCCACTAATACGAAGAACATAAGGACCCCTTCCATCTAACACTGACTGATCAATTTTCCCACCCATGGACGTGAAGGATAATAGGGAGTTATATGTCCTTATGTGTTCCCTGAATCTCACATGAGTAAACTGTTGTTGTAAAAATTCAGGAGTTTCTGGCAATAAAGGCAACATCACTTGTCCACTTTGACAACATAGACTAAATTTTGGTCGACTCAATGGACTATCTCTTACTTTTTCCTCCATCCACATCATTGCTTGACATCTAGAGCATGTTACTGTTCTCCCACCAAAGTTTGAGCGGTCTGAAATTTTTCTCCTTCTAGAACGTGTGGTAAATGTACTACCTGAAATTATTTAGATTTAGATTATAATTATGAATTTCTATTGTCTATAAGAAATTTGTATAGAGTACATAGTTGGCTAAATGTTTATTACCAGGTGGATGTGCTCTACTTGAAGTTGGTGGTACAATATTAGGAGCTCGCACTTCTGATTCATTTGTATCTAATTCATTAGATATAGGAATCTGAATTCCAACATGACTAACATCAGGAGCATTGTCATTATTGCGACTCCATGTTTGTCTGAAAGCACCACGTTGCATTCTTTTGAGTCTCAAGACTGTGATCCTCAAATGTCGATTCTCCTTTTCTATTTTCCGAAGGCGATCCTTTAATGTAGGATCATTACGATCATATTGTGTTAAAAATAATCTTCTTCTTGCCACCATTCGTGCCAACTTGGAGGAAAGATATTTTCGATATCGATTTTCATATTCTTTATCAACACCTAATATATAATATAAGATCATATTATTATTTTTGTGATTCTTAAAAGATTATTGAAAATGTGAAGGTCTCACTAATAAGATTGTAAGAAAATTTGAAATGTAACATTATTGTGTAGAAGTCAATAGATTACCACTATGACGGGCACTACTTCATAATCTTTTCAAACGCAAAACGATGGTTCTCAAACGTCGAGCCTCCTTTTCTATATTGAGAAGACGAATCTTCAAGGTTGGATCATTACGATCAGAATGCCGTGTCAAAAGCAGTCTTCTTTTGGCTACCAATCGAGCCATCTTGGACTTAAGTCGTGTTTGATTAATTTCTCGATTAAAAATCATATCCATCCTGAATAGAGTATTAAGTTGAAGCTTATATAACTCATGCTATTAGTTTATAGTATAGATAATGACTTAAGGATGTGTAACATATGACTTTCATATTAAAAACATGATAATCTATAATTGTTTGTAGTTAATTTTACACACTAAAATGATTAACTCCTACATGATAACATCTACTGTAGAATCCATATAAATAGAATGTATCAAAGATCTAAAATCATGCAGGTTATATATTTATTATATATGTAGATATGATAGTCAGTAATTGTTTCTAGTCATATTAAAATCTGCTAAAAAAAGCATGGTAGTCTATAATTGTTTGTAGTTAATTTTACACACTAAAATGATTAACTCCTACATGATAACATCTACTGTAGAATCCATATAAATAGAATGTATCAAAGATCTAAAATCATGCAGGTTATATATTTATTATATATGTAGATATGATAGTCAGTAATTGTTTCTAGTCATATTAAAATCTGCTAAAAAAAGCATGGTAGTCTATAATTGTTTGTAGTTAATTTTACACACTAAAATGATTAACTCCTACATGATAACATCTACTGTAGAATCCATATAAATAGAATGTATCAAAGATCTAAAATCATGCAGGTTATATATTTATTATATATGTAGATATGATAGTCAGTAATTGTTTCTAGTCATATTAAAATCTGCTAAAAAAAGCATGGTAGTCTATAATTGTTTGTAGTTAATTTTACACACTAAAATGATTAACTCCTACATGATAACATCTACTGTAGAATCCATATAAATAGAATGTATCAAAGATCTAAAATCATGCAGGTTATATATTTATTATATATGTAGATATGATAGTCAGTAATTGTTTCTAGTCATATTAAAATCTGCTAAAAAAAGCATGGTAGTCTATAATTGTTTGTAGTTAATTTTACACACTAAAATGATTAACTCCTACATGATAACATCTACTGTAGAATCCATATAAATAGAATGTATCAAAGATCTAAAATCATGCAGGTTATATATTTATTATATATGTAGATATGATAGTCAGTAATTGTTTCTAGTCATATTAAAATCTGCTAAAAAAACCCACAAGCATGGTAGTCTATAATTGTTTGTAGTTAATTTTGCACATCGAAATCATCAACTCCTACATGATAACATTTGCTATAGCATTCATAAAAATAGTATGTAACCAAAGATCTAAGTAATTCAATTTCAAACTTGGAAATGTCAAATGGTTAACCAATTGTTGCTGATTTATCTGGAATTTACCTTAAGTTTGCTTGTCTTATTTTTCAATAGAATTCAAACTGGAATACAAAAGATAAAGAATACAAAATCTCAGTAAGTACCGTTATTTGTTGTAAGTACATAAAAAAAAATTAAAAATCTATTATACAACATGGATCTACTGAGGAGCTAATGTAATTATTTGTAAAGAAATTATTATGCAATAATTTTATAGTAAGCAAAGATAACGTAATCAAATTATTGTTATACATGGGGGAAAAAAAACACAAAAGAAAAAGAGGATTTATTTTGATTTATTGTTAGATTTTTTTTGAAGATTTTGTAAATTACAAAATAAACACAAAGCGGTGTCTTTTTGTGGATGGTAGGAATAAAAATTGTGGGTTTTTATTCTTATTTTTAAAATAACGTGATAATCTAAGATGGTAGAATTTTTATTGTAGGAATAAAAATTGTGTATTTTTTTTATTAATTTATTTAATTGAGAGTGAGATTTATTTAATTGATTTAAGTTATAGATATTACTAAATTTTATGTGATAGACGTCTGATTCAATGAATTATAGGTGTTGGATATGCATGAGTAAATTGTAGGAATAAAAATTGTGGGTTTTTTTTTTTTTTTTTAAATAACGTGATAATCTAAGATGGTAGAATTTTCATTTCAAAACATAATATTTCCGATTTTCAAACCAAGTATGTACGTATATATTTTGGATTTTGTAAAACAAAACAAAACATGAAAAATTAAATTTTGATTGGAACACTCATAGTACCATTCACAGTAGCACCATTATAAACCATTTCATACCATATCTCAAAGTAAGACATGTTAAAAAAAAAAAAAAAAAGGAAATACTACAACCAAAAGAATTTATATGAACACAATTTAAATTACAATCTGTCAAACTCATTCAGACGGGATTGCACTTCTCTCCATTATAGAGAAACAATTCTTTTTCTTTCTTTTTTTTTAAAAAAATAACGTGATAGACATTGAATATTTTTAGTCTGTATCTATGTTTTTAATTTATTTAAGTTACAAATATTTGAGCTCTTTTTTTTAAATAACGTGATAAACATTGAATATTTGTAATTTTTATATTTTATATTTTTTATTAATTTATTTAATAATTATAGATTTTTGTTAAATCAATTAAAATCACAAATGGTTTGAAAAAAAATACAAAATGAGTAATTGCCACACAGGTACAACCCCTTGGTTAAGTTGTGATTACTGCTGCTGTTATGATCTTTATGAAGAAAAAGTCTATTGTGTGGTCAATTACTACTCTGCTCACCATTTTCATAGAGATAATTAATAAGGTAGTAGATATGATTTGGGCTTTTCATGTGGGTATATTTTAATATAAATAAACAAAAAGGACAAATAAATCTGCAGAATTGGGCTTGAAAGTTGTTTGTGTTGAAATTCTCTTAAAACTTAAAAGATATCCTCTGTAAAAATAAAAATAAAAAAAAAATTCAAATATAAGATATATGAATCCCACCGTATATAATATCTAATTTAACCCATTATATCGAAAATCAAACGGGCCTAAAAGAAAACACAAAAAATAAATGAGTTTAACTTTTTCACGACTCAGTTGTAAAACATTGATTTACGAAGAGCCAATTGAAAGGTTCCACATCAACATTTTATTGAATTTTATAAAAGTTTTACATCCATTACCATACACTCACCTTTATGTGATCACTCCTCTCTTCCTCTTTCACACATTCATCTCTATCGCTCCATTTCTCTCTTTTCTAACTCCATCACCGAGGGCTACCGCCATTACCTTGGCGTATTTGGATAGCAAAATTAACTTTTAACTTATTTTACATCATATTATTTTTAATATTTTTTGCATATTTTCAAAATCTACATTCGGTAACAACAAGAAAAACAAAAACAAAAATAGAGACATCTTCAATGGAGATGAGGGAGAGAGATATAGAACCGGAGAGAAGATTGGGTTATATATATCCTATTGAATCTTCATTAAAAATTCAAAATTGGTGGAACAAAGACACTACAATTTTCAGAGCATAATAAAAAAAGAAACAGAGACATCTTCAATGGAGATAAGGGAGGGAGATATAGAACCGGAGAGAATTGGGTTATATATATATAAATTATTAGAGCAAAACAAGAAGAAAAACAAAAACAGAGACATGGAGATTACAATACCGAGACTTGCATTCGATGGCGGACTGCAGACTGCGGACTGCTGCCGTTCACTGCTAATGAAGGAAGTTGATGTAGTGGATTGTTAGAAGTAATGGTGTGAGGGACTGAAAGTGTTTGAGGGTAGGAGAGATTTGTAATGGTTTGAGGGACTGAAAGTATTTGAGGGTAGGAGAGATTTGTTTGAGGTGGGAGAGTAACAGATTTGTTTGGATAGGTTTTGTTTTTTTTGTTGACAGCTTGATTTGTTTGACGTGGAAGAGTGAGAGTAACAGATTTGTTTGGATAGGTTTTGTTTTTTTTTTAACAGATTTGTTTGGATAGGTTTTGTTTTTTTTTTTTAACAGATTTGTTTGGATAGATTTTGTTTTTTTTTTTTGTTGACAGTTTTTTATGGATAGGAGTTGTGGATAGTGGGAGAGTGGGAAGGTGGAAGAGTAGAAGTTTTTATTGTTATGAAAGGCTTTGAGAGGGAAGGAAAAGAGTTATAAACTCAAAAGAGACTTGCCACGTATTTTTCAGATTTATGAGAATTTTAGAATGGCATTTTCAAGCCTTGTAAAACACAGCACTACATTCTATTATATATATAGTATAGATTAACAAGGGACTGCAAAGACGAACCATAAAGGTACTTTGGCATGAAATATCCACATGCTAATAGTATAGATAGTACTTGAATCACTTCGTACATTTCACACAGAACATGTAAAATGATTTCTTATTATACAATCTATTAAGCAAGCAACATTGACCAAATTACAGTACACAATCCCTCTCCAAACCCCTTATAAGAGGTAGCACCGCATACGACATTTAGCTCTTTCCTGGAGCAAATATTGCACCTGCGACAAAAAGTAAAGATGGAAAATAATGAATGTGAGTCATGAAGCTTCACATCAGACCTCCAACAATCACATAAGTTTTCATAGAAAACACTAAGATTACATATCAAAGTAAACTTGCATAGATTCTGGCCAATACAGAGTTGCAAATATAGAAAGAAATTCATACCTCTCAAAGAAGCTCTGAAGGAAAACAGGTAGCTTCAAATGATGTTAAACGAGGGGGTACATTATCTCCCTGATGAAAAATTGAAACAAAAACACCCCAATCCATTACAACAATATAAACTGCACAATGGAAATATAAAGGAATACATAGTGGAAAATCGAAGGAGATCCCAAAACAGCATGGACAATGAAATAATGCCACACTTCTGAATTTCTCAAATGCATGTCTAGTGTAAAAGGCATGAGCCCGAAGAATTCCAAAAAAGAGCAAGCGAAGGCTGGGGGGCCATCTTAATTAATCATACTGTTGTAAACTAATAAACTAAATTTAATTGTAATATTCTAAAACGCTGCTAAATGTGTTACATAATGATAAAACTACCATTGAAAGTCAAATTCTCATTTCCAGCCATTTAAAATGTTGACTTTCAAATCAATTAAGAACAAAGATCATATAGCAGTATCTACAATAACATATTTCCACAAATCCTACCTTGTAAAATCAATCACAATATAGTATAATTTAGCTAGTGTAATTGGTAATTTTAGCCCAACCACCAATCCCACCCTTCCAAAAGAGAGAAGGAAAGAGAAAGAAAAACCAAAGGAAAAAAAGGTGAAAACCTTGTCATATTACATGAGATGACATTAGATAAAGCAAAGCTAAGTAGTAGTTTACTATTTATGATTCCAGACAATGGAATCAACAAACATGATACATGATACATGATACTCTTTCCAAACTCAAGACAATGTAATCAACATACAAAATACTCTATCAGACTCTAGACTTTTACAAACTAATAAGGTACCGAATTGGTGAAGTTCTAGATTATTCTTAATTGTATCACAGCACCACATGGTTCAACCTTCAATTAATATACACTTTGGTTAACAACAAGCAAACAAACAAACTACAATACATTACGTCCACAATTCACATAGCATTTATCCTCAAGATGTGAAGAACCTACATACTTCCTCCCCATTGCATAATTAATATATGTATATATAAGCAAATACTTATGGCGCCAGATGATATATTTAGTGACCGAAGGACAAAAATCCTTAATTTTGTGCTTGTATTGCCATAGGGAAGAATCATACCTGTTTGTGTCCTCCTCAACAGTAAAATCCCCTACAAAGTGTAAATCAAACACAGATGGGAATCATTTGTTCCACCAAATAACTGACCCTACACACACAATTAGGCATGTATGTATGTAAATAAAAAGCAAGAGAATAAAGAATGAGCATCTTGTTTAACCAGTTTAGTTGTTGCAACCTCCACCATCTTGTTCAACAAATCCGATGTTCAATAGGGATACCTATATATAAAGAGTGACAGACAGGGAGACAGAGAGGAAAACATGTCAAGATATGAGTAGCCTACTAATAAGAGTATGCAAGACTTGTGTAGAACCCCAGATCATCAATATTTATCCTAAAAGTATCAAGGACTATGAGAAAAATTAATGCTAGATGCATCAACCTGGATTCTACAGAAAAAATTAATGTACAAAATCCATAGTATGATAAGGGTAATCCAAATCTGAGACCATAAACCAAAGGAAAAAAAATATCCCTGAGAGCATAAACCAAAAAAGAGATATTACACATATGCTGGGATAAGATCTGTTCCACATTTGTTGTACTAGATCCACAAAACCTAGATGTATATAGCATATTTTGATTGGCATATTATCTTATTTTATATATATATATATATAATAAAGGAGAAGAGTTTTTGAAAATGTGTAATTTATCTTAGAGATATATTTTGATCCAATGGTTTAAATTGTCTCATCTAAACTTCAATGGTTGAGATGTTTCCATTTCCCGTCCAAATGCTCTTTGAGCATCAACGGTTGAGATCAATTACCATCAAGATCTAATGGTCCAAAATGTAAATTGAAGAAAATCTCTCTCTCTCTCTCTCCTCTCCGTCACAGGTACTTATCTCCTCTCTCACTTTGATTTCAATTTTTGAACTCTCTCTCTCTCTCTCTCTACCTGCATCAGAGCCCTCCTGTGCGACGACCACCGACCATCGTGACACCGATAACCACCGACTACCTCTCCTCTGTGTGTCATCCTCTCTCGACGACACCACCGACCACCTCATCTCCTCTCACCCTCCTCTTTCGTCTCTCTCCCCTTGCAAGGTAAACTAGAACTTCTAACTTTTGCGATTCATGATGGTTTTGTGGGTTTGGTTGTAAAGTTGCAATTCATGATATTTTTTTGCTTGAATCTGAATATTTTTGTGGGATTATAAGTGTTTGGTTGGGCTGATTTTGAAATGAGAAATGAGTTTTCATTTTTTAAATAGATTTTGAATCTGGATATTTTCTTTTTTAAAAAGTTTTGAGTCTGAAATGGGTTTCACTTGATATATATACATGTATAGTCCAGTGTATAAAATTGATGAAGGGTTGGAGATATTTAAGACATAGCAGGGGTTGGATCTTGGTTGATTCCAAAACTAATCAATAACAGCATATAATAGTACACGTCATAGGGAGTATATTTAGGAGTATCCAACGTTACTCAATAAATACTTACCAGATCTAAGTATGTAGAGATGTTCAAAGTAATTGGAGAAATGATTTGTTTAGGTTGTGTAATGCATTTGAATACAAAGAATGTCAAATTAAAGGGAAAATTTCCAATAAGTCTTACTTTCCTATGAAATGTCCATTAGGTCTTATTAACACTTGAATCAACTCTCTCAACATAGTGCTAATATGATTGAAGAGGAAATTCTATGGGGAAAATAGGATTTAACTAGTCAAAATTAAATTGTTTTGATGTATGTTTTTCTGTTCTTGATTATCAGGTTATCCTTTATGTTTACTTAACTTTCATTAGCTGTTAATGGATGCAGTTATATTGAATTTATTGACAGTATATTCTGTGTCATTTAGGAAGTTCATGTATAGTCTAATGTATAAATTGTTTTCTTCTCATTATTAATTTTTTAAATACACATAAATGTTGATTAGTGTCAATAAATTCAGATATTATAGTCCAGTTATGTTGTTTTCTTCTCATTTAGCAGGTTCATATATTCTGTGTCATTTAGCAGGTTCATGTATAGTCCAAGTTCATGAAACCCCATATTTCATCTCCTCTCATTTCATATATATATCTACTGGGTTATAATTTCTACTGGGTTTTGTTTGTTTTGATGTTTTTGTGAAGTTTAAGGTACCATTCATGGGTACTCTGTTTCATAAAATTAACTGTTCTGTTTCCATATCCCTATTATATAAAAAATGGGTATAGGTTGATATGTTGCATTTACTTTCCTAAGATTTGAATCGGAGAAAGAAAGAGAAACTTTTGTAGTGGAGAATAAACAAAAGATATTTGTTTGGTCCTCTCACTTTCTTTTTCTCTCTATATCTCTTTGAGGAACATGTATGTGTATTTAGCTAATATTTGTTTGGGTTCAGAAATTTGCTTACGTACATTAATTATAAGTTTGATTGAATTAGCTGGAAATTCTATTAGGTAGTTTCAATTATATTCTTAGCAATAAAATTTGATGTTATTTGCCACTTTAACAACAAATTTAGTATATCACTAAATTCGTCTTTCTTGGGTTAATAAAAATCCCGATGGTATAATTCCAAAGGGAATGGTTACCTTATGCATATGATTTTTTGCTTCTTTTTTTTTATATAATTTTTTTTTAAAAAAAAAATTTCTATTAGTAGCCCTATGAGCTTTATATCTTAATAAATACTACTCAATAATCAATTTTGGTAGTTCAATTTCCCATGAGATTGAATTGTGGAGGTGCTAATATGACCTTTTTCTTTTCTTGTCTTTTCTTTTTTTCCCTCTCTTGTAGGAACATTGCTTAAGATTGGCATAGTTATGCTTATGTTTCTTTTTAAAAGATATGTTTATGAAAATGTCTATGTTACGGATGTGTTGTATAATCGTCGTAAGTGTGTTTGGATCGTGGATTTTGATAGAATTATGAAAAGATAGAGGAAAAGAATGAGTGAAATGTGAATGGAATATAAACGAAATTATTTCTCTATCTTTCTTTCCCTTTCCAAATCTCTATCTAAATTAATGATTCAAACACAGCGTTAACATTAAAAGAAAGTAAGAATGCATTCTAAGCCTATTATCTTTTGTTGTCTATTTTGACATATGTAAGTCGTGAGTATTGCACTTTAATTCCATTTGTTGAACAAAAATATTTCAAGTAGCTCATAATGCTTTGAGTTTTATAGGTGAATGAAACTGCTATTCAAGCCTCTCCATCATGGTATGTGCAAGATTTGGGTATGAACCGGTCACCAACACTATGACGCTCTAATTTTAACTATTCAAGCCTCTCTATCATGGTATGTACAACATTAGTTCTATGCGACACATCAATGGTGTGCCACACATTAAAGTAGGTGGTCCTTCTAATAAAATTTTCTGTTTTCTCCAAGTGACAGGTGTTTAAGACAATTTCAGTCTCATATTCAAGTTCGGAAAGTCTCGAATCTCTTCTTCTATAAGGTTTCACTTTAATTTTTCTTTTTATTTTTTGAGATTGCAGAGCACTGGTTGGTATTCATTGTTTATTATTTATTTTAAATTTATTTTTTTGGTATTGCAGAGCACTTACTAATGTGCATTGTTTGTTATTTAATTTTGAATTTTATTTTCTGGATTGCATAGCACTGACCGATGTTCTTCATTTAGTGTTTGGTAATTTTTTTTATTTATTGTAAAGTATTGATATATGTACAATAGCTTTAGCTGGTATTATTTGGTAACGAATGAATAATGAAAACGGAATATTTTTTATTAAACAACAAATATATATAACTGTGCCTAAGGGCTACTATTTTTAATTGAGTTCTGTAGCATGTGTGATACCAGGAAAATTGTTGGAAGTGTTTTAAAAACAATATATATACCTATGCCTAGGGATTGTTATTTTTCAATGTCTTAGTTTTTGGTATGTTTTTCGATAAATTACATTTGTATTCAATTACATTTTGATCTCAATAATTATTTACATCGTGCCTTTAGGGACGAGCATTCCTCTTATTCTTCCATTTTTCCACTTCTCCTCTCATTATGAAAATCATTTAACACTAAGGTAAATGATGGGAAGTGAGCATTGTTTTGAGGATTGCAAAAAGTCCTGAATTTATGGAAACTTTGACATATAATTAAGATTGCAAAATTAATACTTTTTCATAATTTGCTATTTCATGTAATGAATTCTTTTTCCTTATTTTTGTTTGTTTATTTGTTTGTGTAGTATTAGATAATTTGATAAGCATGAAGGGATTGAATTAGCTTGAAATCAAGTAAAACTTCATGATTTCTAGGAAAGCCCTGAAGATCTAAAGAGGTATTGTGAAATTCATCTGTTGAAGACCTTGACTAGATTAAGTTGCTTTTGTTTATTAAACTGTGTCTTTCATTATGTATGTGTTTGGGTTTCTCTTTTTTTTTTGGGTATGTGTTCTGTTTTTTTTTTTTTTGTGTTCTATTTCTTTTTTATTTTCCTTTTTTTTGTGTTTTTCTTTTTCTTTTTTTCCTGTGCATTGTTGCTAATAAAATCTCACATTGTTGTGTTCAAAATACCACTTGAAATTTTGTTGAATGCTTCTTGAGGACTTTTTCTACAAATTAGTTTGGCCCCTCTTCATCTCCTCATTTCTCTCTAAACTTGAGAATTTCATTATGGGTATTTTACCTATTTTGGTACAGTCAAGCTCTTTTATTTTGCATCTTTGTGCATACACCATGTTCTGTAAAATGCCTTAATTAAAATAGTTTATTTTCTTTTGGTTAAACCAGTTACTTATATAATTCAACTTTTTTGTTGGTCAAATAGTGAGTGAATCTATCATAACAAGCCAAATAAATGATTAAACAACCTTTCTGTGGGTGTTGATTTCCGACCACACAACCAAAAGGGGGAACTCAGTTGGAGAGCACTGACATAATAGATTAAGCCCGAACCACCTGCCACAGAAATATAAGAATCCCGCGGTGGTTCGTCCACCCGGGGGCACTCCGACGATCAAGTCAGTAAAATATCTCTCAAAGATAACCAATAGTGCTTAACTCACTAGACAGAGCATAAAAAGCATACCTTAGACCCATGGAGGTACCTCCTTTTTATAGCCAACACAAATCTAGTCCCAATAGAAGCCTTGCTTCAATGGACTCTGGATTACTGCTAATCTTGGACTCCTAGTAGGATTGGGATAAACTCTCTAAGAGTCTTATCTTTATCCAAACTGAAGTTCTCTTCCAATCTAGGACTCTAGTCCTCTATCCAAATAGATAGTTT